GAAAAAGAAAGTGTCAGAAATGAACCCACTAATCAGTCTTCTTTTTGAAAATAAACTAACTGAAGAGTATATAGTTCGCTTTTATTTGTGTATTATGAATTTAATCGATGGTGTAATTATTCACCTAAGTTAACTCTGCATTTTCAAGGAAGTTGTAGGAAGATTAAATATTCTTATCGTTTGTATTTAATTTCTATTTACTTCATTTTGTCATGTATACATGAACACTATTTCCGTCCATTTGATGCTATATAACATTCTGAAATTTCTGTACAGTATTCCTGAAATATCTTTCAGAATAAACCTAATATTAATATTGCCAGAACGACTTTAAAGGCCACCCTAGGAACTCCTGAGATAACTAAATAGGCTCCTAAATTTTATGAAAGACTACCTTTCTAGTCGGAATACTGAGATCTGATTAGTCATTGCAGAAGTTTTCGCGTTGTCCTTTAAAGTCAAGCTTTTCGATTAACCGTAAAGGCCATTCTACTTACAGGTGAAAAGGCCAATCAGGTTTCTTTATTTCTGTTGGAAAGGCAGACTTTCGTAAAATAACGAAGGCTAGTTGGTTATTTCAGTTATTGATAGGATGGCCTATAGAGTCACTCAAACTTTCAACCAGCTGATCGTTTATTCTTTATTCTTTCTGTTTTCAGGGTTATCTGGAAGGTGGGTGATTGTGCCGATTGGTGATATAGCGCAACCATCATCCAATGTAGTTGTGGGATGATATAAGTTGTAGAGTATGGATCGCTGGATTTGAACTTAATGGCTCTTCACAAGACTTGATGGTTTTAGGCTCTATTCCGCATGCTGTCATACATGTACAATAATAACTGATCTCAAACTAGAACGTAATGGCTTTCCACTGCTCCCTCCCCTCTCCTCCCTTGTTTATTTAGTGATTAAAACTCTACCTGAGATCACATTTGATGCTAACAGCATTCCCTCTTCTTGCCAAGGTAACGTGCAAAATACGTCTGTTTTGAAATAAACAAAAAAATTTCCACGACAGACATTTTTTATCTACTTCAAGGATACAATTAACATTTGAAATATAATCGGGAATGAAGACATGGGAGTGTTGTAAGCATTGCATCTGATGAAGTTTAGTACTTAGGTATAAATTCATAAATATGGTATAACAAGATACACATCTTAAGAGACAAAAAGGATGATTATACTATGGAGAGTTAAACTGGCAAAATAAGACATATTTGAAACATTCCTAGCTAGGAGGATAGTTGCACTACAACCAAATTTATCCTTCTCTACAAAACAGTATGCTTCGTGAGACAATCAAAAGTAGACAGGTTCCCTTCCCATGTTGTCTCTAATTATGTGTACAAGTTTACGTGCATATGTGATGATAGATTTATTGGGAGAATTTAGAGACGAGCGTACCGTAGATTTGCTGAACACGTGCCGAAACACCCTTACTCAAAAGAACAAATGCTTTCAATAGTCCAGTCACTGTGTTTTTTTATCAACGCAGGATATAAAGATGCCTTAGAATTCTTCAAGTTACCCAACATACATCGTAATTCAAACTTTCCAAAGTTTTAAGAGGCTGTAGCAATCAAACGAGAAAGTTTGAAAGTATGTGTTTAAAAAGAAGCAGTGATCAATTTCTATTTATCGTGTTAACCAACGTTTTACTCTTCTTCCTGTTTGCTGACATCATCTTTTGACGACTAAACCGTTTCCTGGTTGTAGGAAATTTTGATGATCATTCTGGTTTGAATCCGGCCGCAGTCCGGATATACATCTCACCTTCAATCACCACCCAGTACAAATGATCATTCTGTTAACTGAATTCTACTCATTTAGTTCCTTTGACAAATTTGAACAATGCAAGAACGAAAACAGAATAAAATGAGTTCATTGGGAGACTGTAATTAACCTTTCTTTACCTTGGTAACTGAATATAATTTTTGCATGTGTATTTATAGTTTTACCTTTCCTCTTGATTGCATCATCCCTTCAATCAATTATTATTATTATTATTATTTGTCCCTTGGGTTCCTAATGGAACATAGGGCTTCAGTAGCACGTCTCCATTGCACTCTGTTCTCTCCAGTCTCTTCAACTTGGCTCCGAGTTTGCCCAGAAGCTTTCGTTTCCTCCTCACATGACCTCATCAATTACTTACTGATGGCTAATCGCTTAACGATTTTCCAGTTTAGATTTGTTTATTTGATGCATAGCGCACAGTGATACAGTATTATTTACTTGATGACGTTTCGAGCATAAATTACTATTGCTCATAATCTTATTGATGTAATCACACAACTTTCGACATCTGCTTTTTATAGTCCTACCACCTCTTATTCTTTTTTTTATTGGTAGTAAAATTTTCCATATCTCTGGCATAGGTGTGGCATCATTTCTATTACATATGTTGGGTGTTGATTCGATGAACAAAGATTCAGTAGAATTTTTGAGGGAGTTGTGGAGATTTGGAAATATTTCAAGTTGTTATTAATCGTAAACTGACATCAGTTAGAGGAACAAAGGAAACCTGGGACCACTGGACAGCTGTTTCGTCCTAGTATGGGGCTCCTCAGCAGTGCCCACCCACGACCCTGCCAGGGATCGAACCCGCAGCCTTCAGGTTCCGCTGCCAGAGAGCGTTACCAGTGAGCCACTGGATCAGAATCCAATGCTCCATATTTCCAACTTCTGTTAGCTCAAGATATAGCGCGACCGCCACCCAATGTCATCGTTGAGTAACTGTCCTCACGACCATCAGGCTTTGACTCCACCGGTCACGACTTCTCGTTGGAACTTCGGGAATACCTCTCGAAGCTAATCACCAATGAGCACCAGTTCAACTGAATGTTTGGTTGAGTTGTGGAGATTTGGAAATATTTCATGTTGTTATTCATCGAAGACTGACATCAGTTGGAGGAACAATATGGAGCATTGGATTCTGATCCAGTGGCTCACTGGTAACGCTCTCTGGCAGCGGAACCTGAAGGCTGCGGGTTCGATCCCTGGCAGGGTCGTGGGTGGGCACTGCTGAGGAGTCCCATACTAGGACGAAACAGCTGTCCAGTGGTCCCAGGTTTCCTTTGTTCCTCTAACTGATGTCAGTCTACGATGAATAACAACTTGAAAGATTCAGTAGCCAATACCCGTCTCCCCCTTCACCTAATTATATTGAACTGAAGCACAGTGGATTTATCCCTCTCACCCTTTTGTGTGGTTGTTTCAATCTATGCATTGCAATACCCTAGTGTTTTTCCAAATTATTGACCTTATTCAGGCCTGTCATTCTATATTTAGATAAATTCCTATGTTCCGCCATTCTAATTGACCCCGACCGGCTAGTTTCACCTATGTACTTGACCTCACAGTCATTACATGGGAATTGGTAGATTCCATTATTTTGTTTAATTGGATCTATCGAATCCTTGAGCCAGTCGACAAAGCTTATCTCTGTGCCAGTTTGTAGGTTTAAATACCACCTTTGTTGAGGATGCTACTTAAAGTTTCTGATGTACCTTCTTTATAGAGTAAGACAACAGAGGCTGTGAACTCCATTTCACTCGCGTTGTCGTCATTATTTTTACTCGTGTTACTGTTATCATTTCGTTTCTTGCGTGTTCGCACGAATTTCTTAATAAACTATAGAGGTTAATCATTAACTATTAACGGTTTTCCAGTCTATCATGTAATTGAGTAACCTATTATTAGTATTATATTATTTGTCCCTTGGGTTCCTAGTGAAACATAAGCTTCAGTAGCACGTCTCCATTTCACTCTGTCCTCTAAAATCTTTTGAACCTGGCTACACGACAGCCCACAAGCTCTCATTTCCTCCTCACAACATCTCCTCCATGTCACACTCACCTCAGACGCCAAACTCGTCGATTCCCATCTGGGTTCCACTCAACAGCCTGGCCTGACGCATGATGTCCTCAGTCGACCTTCTCAGTGCATGCACAATCCAATCCATCTCCACTTCATTCCACTGCATATTTATTCAGTGATAAATTCTTGGTTGACTCGTTCCCAGAGCTCCTTGCTACTTATTATTTTGGCCATCTGATCTTCAGTAACGAGCCAACGTAGGCAGTTGTTGATGAATGTCTGTAGTTTGCTGGAAATCCCTTTCATAACGCGCCAAGTCTCTGAACCATACAGAAGCACTGACTTACTTGACGTTGGTGTTGAAAATCCGGATGTTGTTCACGCTTTATGTCGGATGCAGAAGACCACCACATTGGTTTCAGGCTAATGAACGCCTGTCATACTGTCTTTCCGATCCTGGCTGACTTTGACACCCTCGTGTGTGCCACCACCTGTAGTTGAAACAGTGCTGCCTCGGCTGGATAGGTGAAGGAGGTTACTTCCTTTAAGTTTCTCCCATTGGTGGTGATTGGAGTTTGTTGTTGTTGTTGGTGGTGGTGGTGGTGGCGTTGGTAGGGTATCTTCATCACCCCTATCTTCTCTATATTCACTTGAAGTCCCGTTTTCACTGCCCTGCCATTCCCTGCCCTGCCCTGCCCATCCTCTTCTGCCAACTTCTCAGTTTTCACCTGTACATCTTCAAGTTTGCGTGACATCAGACACAAGTCATCAATGGCGAAATCCAAATCTTCTAGGTTCTTTTCTCCAGTCCAGTCAGCGTATACCCTCTCCTCACAGCTCATCACTGTTTCTTGCATCATCCAGTTCAGTCCACTACAATCAGGAATATCATGGGTGATAGTAAACAGCAGCCTTGTTTCACTCATGTCTTCACTTCACTTCACTTCACTTCAAAAGCATCACTGAGGTTCCCATCGTGAAGCACTTGGCTGGTATGTGGCATGCGTCTTCATGTAGTTGTTGAATGAGACTGATATTGGTTTGTGGTATTGCGTAGTGTTGTGTTGAAGCAACTGCCTGACAAATTACTTGTCGGTCGACGCTGTCGAATGCTGGCCTTTTCAAAGTCGATGAAGTTGAGGTTGACTTGAGTTGAGTTGACTGCCATTCTATACTCTGTTCTATGATGATGATGGTGATGATGATGATGATGATGATGATGATGATGATGATGATGATGATGATGATGATGATGATGATGATGATGATGATGATGATGATGATGATGATGATGATGATGATGATGATGATGATGATGATGATGATGATGATGATGATGATGATGATGATGATGATGATGATGATGATGATGATGATGATGCGAAGCGTAGACTTGCAATTTGGTCCACACATGATTTGTACTTCCTGAATCCAGCCAGCCTCATTGATCCGGTCGTAGTTTTGAATCCAGTGCATTGTTTAGTCTCTCCAGGATGATGTGGCTTAATATTTTGGTTGCTCCTGGTGGACAGGAGAGTGATTGCGCACCAGTTCCTGCAAACACTGAGATCTCCCTTCTTCGGCAGTTTGACAAGGTAACCCTTCTTCTGCTTCCAATCAATGGCCAGGTACCTTCTCTTCCTTCATTTCACACCTTCTGCAATAGTGGTGGGGTGTGAGCATATCCGTTGTTGTCTCTGCCTCTGTTCTCACTGCTTCTGGTGTGATTCCATCTCATCCTGCTGCTTTCCTATATTTCATTAGCTTTATGGCGTTCAGAACTTCGACGTTTGTCGGAGTGCTTGTGTTCACTTGTAGTTGTGTGAGTCGGCTGTAGGTGGTATTTCTGGACGGAGTGCAGATGGTGGTGGTGGTGGTGGTGGTGGTCGATTCAAGAGCTTTTTGAAGTGGTCAGTCCATCGTTTCCTTTATTCCTCCTCTTTGCTAACTAGCTTTCCTTTACCATCTTTCATTGGTTTCATTTGTGTTGATCTCTTCTCTCAGAGATAGTAACCTGGTTATTTGATGCAATATTGTTAGGTCTCTCCTAGCAGCACCCTATTCTGTTTCGGTTGCCAATGTGTCGTAGAAGTGTCTTCTGTCTCTCCGTGCACTCTTCTTCACTTCTTTGTCCAGTGTAGTGTTTCATGCATTGTACTCAGTTCCTCTTGTCGTTGAGCGTCCTTGCACTGGTTCATCTTCTACTTCACAGTATTTCTCTCCTTCCTCTATCAGCTTCCATGTATCCATCGAGATCCATTCCTTGTCTTGTCTTATCTTCTTTCCTCTCCCTTCCCAACACGGTTATACAGGCTTCTTTCCACATAGATTTCAAAGACTTCCAGTCTTCTTCCACACAGGTTTCTTCAGGTATCTTCCTCGATATCTCCCATTTCGTCTTGATGGCTGACTGACGTGAAGATGTCCCTGGTAGTTTCGTCCTTCAGTTTCTGTTCCGAGTGTTCAACTTCAACTGTGGTCTATCATCACCAGCTTGCTTGAAGGCTTTCAACTTGATTTGGAAGGTAGGTTCCTTGCACTAGATATTGGTGTGAGTGGTGTGAACCTACATCTACTCCTCTTCTTAATCTTATGTCCAGTAGGCTGTCTCCACCTTCCTCAGATTGCGATGAATTTGATCTGGTTTTTAGTGTAGTGTATCCATCTGCTGAAATCCATGTCGCTCGCTTTGTGAATATCCTTGTATTTGTACACACTGCCTCGCCTCGTCTCGCCTCGCCTCCAATCACCAAATTGTTGAATGCACAGAAGCCTGAAAACGATTCTCCATTCACGTTCATCACCTCACCGAGCACTTCTCGACCCATGATGGTTGAATTCTCTTCCTGTCTTGTCCACTCCCACTTTGGCATTCATGTCGCCCATTAGAATGGATTTGATATCGCCAACTGAGTTGGAATCTTGTCCAGTGTTGATTGCAGTTGTCTGTGGAGTTCCTCCTTCTTCTCTTGACTCGTGTCTGCATTATTTGTAGGTGGATAGCGTAGCACAGCATTGTATGATTGTAACTTTCCTTCCTTCCTTCCGAGTTGGATCTTGCTGTCATGATGCTGATCCTGCAGGAGGAGGAGGAGGAGGAAGAGGAGGAGGAGGAGTAGGAGATTGGTTCCCACTGCATGAGAGACAAAGAGAGAGAGAGAGAGATCCGTCGATGCTCTTGAAGAGGACATCGTGATAGCCACTCGAAAACTCAGTGTGCTGTGCTCGTGGTTGTCATCTGCGTGACGATATCGGAGTAGATTATTGACTCCTCTCCAGTTGACAGTTCGAAGAGTCCACTCCCATTCCATCTACCTTCACAGATTCCTAGCACTTCCATGCCATACCTCCTCATCTCATTTGCAACCCGGTCTGTCTTGCTGGGTTCAAACGTGGTGTGGACATTCCATGTCCCCATGTTTACTTTCGCTTTCATAGAGAGAGAGAAGACACATCGGCCGACTGGCTTCCCTTAGGCGTTCCTTCACCCACCGGCATCATTTCGCCTCTCCGATTCCAGTGAGGAATAATTTTGTTTTTATTTTTATGTTTTGTTTGTGCTTTGAAGTTTGTTTAGCGATTTGATTTGTTTTACGGGGTAGGGTTGCTAGTCGTATGCCCAACCTTCCCTCTTTATGTGGTCTTAGGACCGGCTGGTCACTAGTGAACTAATTAACCAGGCGAGTAATCTGGTAGCTTTTAAACAGTCTCTTATTTTACTCTGATTTTCCTTTGTTGTCCTCCCCACTCCACAGCTGCAGAATTTACTATCTCATCAGATATAAATTGCGATCGATTTTGACTAAGATTTGTAAGTAGTAATCCTGTGTTTCATTGATCCAATACCCTATTGGTAATCCTGGAGTTCAAATCTCCATTTATTTCTACATATTTAGGGTTTATCATGCCATTGTTACTACTATTACTTCATTTCAATTGTAGGCTGTTTGTAACTGATGAAAGGCCATGAAATAAAATGAGCTCATTTCATTCTGTAAATGTCTTTGTTCTTGCATTGTTCAAATGAGTCCTACTCATCATATTATTACGTCTATTACTTATCATCAACTATCCTCTTGTTAATTTTCTTACTCAGTCTCTTCTGAATGTAAAAATATTTTGTCACTACTCTGTTGAATTAGACGCATAACTGAAGCATCTCAGCACGTCTTGTCAACTTCATTGGGATATTTGCATTCCGTATTACGCCACATGAATTCCTGTTCACTAACTTCATTTAACTGTGGAAAGAGTGTTCAGAATCTTTATTTATGTGTTATTTCAAGACTGTAAATAGCTAAAGAGAAACCGAGGAAAAAAATGATACTATGTTATTCTGATCCTGTCGGTGTTCCTTCTCTATTCAAATATGGGGTTTTACTGATTTTCAATTATTTGCCCTTCTGTAATAAATATGCCTGTGGTTTTGATTTCCAGTTACATCTTAGACAGTCCTAAACACCTTGGTGTTATGATATCTCTGGCATATTCACGATAGTCAAGATTAATGAAATGTCTTGTATATAAATTGACAACCATTTCACTTCTTGTAGTTATCTACAGAATTGAAGAGCAGTGGCCTTCAGGTTGCTGGCATTCGCATTACATGTTGACATTACAAAACGAATATAAGCATCAAATCGACTTCCTGCAGACTTTGATACCCCTCGTATCCTATTTACATCAGCTACAAAGATTACGTCATGTGACTACTGGAGGGACTAATACGTATCCTCTTCTTGGTGTTAGTGCTCATAACAAGTTAGGTGATACTTATGTTTTACAGTCAGATAAATGTCAACAAAACTAATATAAGACAATTCAGGGAGGCAAAATTTATTTTCACCGAATCATGTTTCAGGAGTTCTCATCCGTATTTATAGATACTACGAAAAATCTGTCCATGGATGGCTGATGGGTCAATATGAGCTTATCACAAGCTGTTTCTAGAGCTATAAGGTAATGGCTGATAGATCCCTACGGGGACCGTTTTAGAATGTGTTAAAAATAGCTTCCAGAAATGCAAGATGATTGCACAATCATCTGGGAATTATTTGAGCAGGTAACGGAAGTGGGGCAGTCGTACTGAGATTAAAAATTGAAGAATAGGGGAAGGGAATAAAAAAGAAGTCACAAGAAGATCATAATCAAGTTGAAATTTGAGACTGATATACCTCTTTTGAACTCAGAGATCAAGCCTGAACTCATAAATTACTAAGACGTTCGCTATTTTTTGGTGACGAAATCGCACTCCCTTCGAAATGTTTGGTTTCACTATATGGACAACTTTGAAGGAAGATTCTGGTAGAGTGACCAGAGTTAACCAGATTTTGACCAGATTGTACCCAACTTTAGACAACTAAACAGAATATTGCTAGGAGGTACGTTTGAATAGAAGCTCTTTGTGTGATTTATGTTACCAGCTCCGCAGGAGCAGGTGACTTGGCCTACCCACTTGAAGGTATTCCAAAGTGGCAGTTCATCCTTCACAAACTCTCGAATCATTAACTGACTAAGGAAAAACATTTCGGAGTTGGATGGAAAAGAAGATATTCTTCTGTGATTTGCACAGTCTATTCTTGCGTATCTCTCCCACTGTATCTCCTCTAAATCCAGTGTCTATTTAAATTGTCTTCTTTGGAATCATAGACGTTTGTTCCGGGTATTTCTTTGGCTTCATGTTCTTATCAACGAATCGCGAAGACTAAGGGTTTTCAACAAGCACTCGTTTGAGTACTTCCAGCTCCTCATTTACCGCATTGTTTGTACAAATTTGTCTAATTCTCGTGCATAGTGAGTGGATTACATTCATCATAAATTTTTCATTGAAATCTCCATTGTGGTTTTTTTATAATGTAGTGGGACTGCTTTTTCGTACGTCAAAGTTGAATAGCATCTCTCTTATGCAAATCGATATCTTTATAATCATCTAGACAGAAAAATATTTTGACAGATTTCACTAACACACAGCGTTATCCCCTAGGCTACTGAGCCACGACAACCGCTTCTTGTCCAATGGGTATAGTTTATGTGGTTTTGCTTATATTATTCTGTCGTTGATTGGACTAAATAGATCAGTCCCTATTGGGAGATTGGCTCCTTCGTGGATGTCTCAATATTACCCGTATTTTTAATTCTGATATTAATGACGGATAGGGGCAAACAGTGGAATCCAGGACGCGCATTTCCTTCTACTCGGGACTCGGCAGCTGGATGTACCTGCGTCCCAGTTCAGTCGACGACAGGATAACACAAGCAAAACCCTATAAATAACTAAGGTTTAAATATATTATCTTACACTACGCTTTACAAGTAGGAATGGAATCAAGACAACTGGAGGATTTAAAGTAGTCAGTTAGCATAGGTATGCCAACAAGAGCGATCATACTGAC